GGAATGGCAAAATTGAATTCACTGATTCTACTGGTATTTTTCTAAAAATAGAATTTGTTGGCAAGGAAATAATATTTCATAATATGGTAGGTTTCATGCTTTTTCCAATTTAAAACTCGAATGTTTTGCTGTCCCTTATTTATGTCACGGCACAAATTTTCTCACGGCATAAATATATCTCCGCTTAAATATCAAAAATCCGCAATCTTGCTGAAAAAATCCGCATTGTATATCAAAAATCTGAAAAAAATTATAAACACAAAAATTGAATTAAGTTCACCTTATGCGTTATATCTTTTGAATCCAGCAATTGAATTGATCAATTTTTTATTATGTGCTAATGATTATCTTATGAAAATTCAAACAATTACATGAAAATTCAAACAATTTTTTCGCCAAAGCGACAAAAATCTTTCTTTTCCATTGTGTAGGATCCCTAAATGAAAATGACTTTGAATATAAAAACTACAAGACAATATAAAATTTCGTCATAATCTTCAAGAGACCACGAAAATCAGCAAATCCGCAATATTAAAAATGATCCTCATTGGTCTAAGCATAAACCAAAAAATGAGGCAAAATTCGCACATCTGAGAGCCCTAATAAAATTGGCCTTCTATGGTTTTTCGATTTTCGGGGGCCTATATCTCTGCGAGTTTACGTCTCACACAAAAATTTTGGTTCTACTTGACTTTAAGAGTCCAATCAAATTTTATAAATCCGAACATGTTTTATTATTCTAAGTAAAAATTTTGGTTCTACTGCAGTTTATCATTCCAATCACAGTTTATGAGTCCAATCAGATTTTTGTGAGCTACAGAGGTCGGTCGTCAGATCAAGGCTGAAATGGTAAAAGGGATAGGTTTATGTTACTTTTGTAGAACCCGGCGACAGTTGACTCCCGCGAAGCGCGCACCGCAAAACACAAGCGCCTCCCCTACGCTGTATAGGTTTAGCAACATAATCATATTCATTTTTAATGTATTATTTAATAAATGTATTATATTTCATTAAATCTAATAAAATGTGATTGGACTTATAAAATTCCTATGGACTTATAAACTTTTCTTTGGACTCATAAAGTCAATTCGACCAAAAATAAAAATTCTTACATATTCGAACTCAGCGCGGCAAGATTTATGCTAATTTACATCCTCTAAGTTGTTAAGAACTTTGTAAATTCCTTTACCAAAAAAGTGTTATATTAAAGTAAAACAAAACAAAATACGGCGAAACTAAAAATAGAAAAAAGGGCAAAAAGTATAAAAAAGTTGATAATGCTGTGCATAAATGTGTGAACGGTCATTCTATCTTTTACAATTATAATTTAGTCTGATGTAAACCATAAGCATAAAGATGTCGGAATAAATATGTTTAATGTCGGAGCACAAATAGAATTCTCCATACGAATAAGCAATTATTATGTTTGGATATTTTTTGCCAGTGATATTTATGTATATTTTATACAAAAATTATGGCCAAAAGATTGGTGGAAAGGGAATTTTTTTAAAGAATCTGGGGTCAATATGTCATTCGATGGTGATTTTATCATAGCTTCCCCTATGCATGTTAATATTCTTACTATAGAAGAGATTATTGTATGTAATACAGTAAATTTTTTATCACAGATGCATTCTGAGTAAATAATCTACTACTTTATTGGTCACAAGAAAAAAATCAGCAAGAAAGGCTTTTTCGAAATTAGGAGGTATTACCAGTAGGCAATCGAGAGTGCTGATCCGAATTTGGGTCTAGATTTGTATATTTTAGACCCCGCGCCAATTTTTCTCGAAACAAACAAATTCTAAGCTCAGATTCAAATTCATACCACTCAATTATCACCGGCAAACATCAAAAATGTCGAAAAAATATTTCTTTTTTATCTTTTTCTAAAATGAATGAAGTTTTTTTCGATTTTCCAGCGCCGTAGCTTAAAAAATTTAAGCATTACGGAAGGCAAAGATCAGCACCGCAGGCGAACCTTTTTAGGTACAGTATGCACTCAAAATTCGTCATTTTAGCGTTCATAACGAATTATTTAGTATTTAAAGTGGAAAAATGTGCCGAACTGCAGTAAACCAATCTTTTTTAGATTCAAACAATTTATATGTCATTCGAAAGATCTTGCCGAGCTGAGTCGAATGACACTAATATTATTCCGCGGACTCAACTGTGGGCCGAGATACAGCACCCTAAGTTTCGAAAAATAGTGGGGAGTAAGCTGTTTTTGGGGGTGAAACATTTAAATATGTAAATAATGACTCATTCGAAAGAGCTTGCGAGCTGAGTCGAATGACATCAAAATCAACGAAATCTGACTTGATTTGACAAAGTTATGATCGTTTATTTTGACTCTTCACATAATGTCGAGCGAAACGACGGCCTGAGTTTGATGTCATTCAACTCAACACGACGAGCCCTTTCGAATGAGTTATAATTTGCATATTCGAATTTTTCACCTCAAAAAAGTGCTTGGTCCCCCGTATGATTTTTTGATTTTTGGGGACCCATATCTCGGCCCACAGTTGAGTAATAATTTTGGTGTCGTTCAACTCAGCACGACGAGCTCTTTCTTATGACATATAAATTATTCAAATCTAAAAAGGGTTGGTTTATTGCAGTCCTGCCTTAGTCCGAACAAAATACTGTAAATTAACTAATATTTCGGGTCTACGCCAGAAAACTGAAAAAAGAACAAAAAATTCATAAATATCTAGCAAATCTTAACCGGGACTTTAACTTTACCACAACTTTAATTAAATCAGTATATTTAGCCCGTCAATTATGCATATGATGTTAAAGAAATGCCATATTTATTTAATATTAATGAATGTACTAGCAACCATAGTTTTTTTCGTTTTCGTATAAAATTAAATGATGGAGCAAAAAACTTTAGTATAAAATTATTAAACGGGATGGAAGAGGAAAATCCTTATAGTAATTAGTTAAACTCTATAATTTTTTCATTATAATACATTCAAGTTGGAACAATTGTTTACCGACTAGAAGTTGATAATGATCTAAAGTCTGTAAAGATTTCAACAAAAAACGTAAGTAAATATAAGTGTGCTGCAGAGATATGCAGGGATATCCCAATTCTGACTTTTTGTCTAAATCTCATACCACACAATTCTAAGATATACAAACATTTTGGAATCAGATATTATGTGTAATTATCTCGCGAGGTATTTAAGCTTAACGGTCTCTGTTTACAATATTTTATGGGTTTGGGATGAAAAATCTGCACCAGAACCGAGCTTATATTTCATCAAAAAGTCTTTTACGGTGTTTAACAAAATTAATTTACAATTCCTTATCTTCGATAGCTTTAAGCAAAAAATGATTTCTATGGAATAAGATAGAAACGAATGTGATCGTTAATTACACTTATTTTTAAATTATTGGACGTTGTTTATTATTTGTCATTGCTTATAAGATATCTAAATTTTAGTGTACCAAGAGCAGTGAGGCGATTTTTGATAAAGAAGGATGTGAAGAGAAAAGCTTCACTTCAGATATATTTTCAAAAGGAAAATTTTTCGAAGTTTCCTTAAATATTAGCGGCGCTAAAACCAACTCATCAGGTATCTACACAGAAAATACAGAATCAAAAGTTTATTCAATAATTCATCTATCTGTTAATGGAAGATACATTGATGAGTTTACAGTTAAAACTGATTTTCAAATATGGACAATTAATAGAGTATTGGCAAGTTTTAAATTTTACAAAAATATTGTATTATTAAAAAATTATGAAATATACTAATATTTGGGATTTGCCATGGCCAATATAAGATTGTAGTTTGCCACATCCATTATGGCTAATCATCACATTATGCCAATCAGGGCCAATCACTTATGCCAATCATTTCATTTTGCTCTTATAGGCCATTTTCTCATTTCTTTTCGAAAATGAACAAAAAAATTTTCGTCCAACTTTTTTTACGTTTTGGTTGATTTTTTAATTTTTTAAAACAGTTGCCAGAATAAATTAATATTGTCTGGAGTTCAATTGGGTCCATAAGTATATTTGTGTCCGCGCCATGGAATGAGTCCAACACAGTTATCATTATAGTTATAGGGAGCCATACTCCCACCGAGTTACCGTACACACAATAACGAGCCATTGCTCTAAAAGAATAACTGAACCTTATTCAGCAATAGAGTTAAGTAAACCAATTTTAAATTATCATTAAATTGTTTATGTTCGTATTTTAGCTAGATGGTCATATCCAGCTTCTAGAACGTGAATATATCCCTAATGAACAACCATATTGGATTCATAGAAAAAAGATAAATGATTTAAAACGATATGGACCAATTGTTTGTTTTGAGACTTCGGTGCCATCTGCGAGCGAAATGAGAGATGGAGTATTTGATTTTTATATTAAATTAATCCACGACCCCCAGATTGCTAATACGCTTGGTAAAATTATTAATTAATTTTTTAATATACAGGTCTCCACATAATTATAATCTCACTTACAGAAATCATATTATTATTTTTTAGGAATTCTTGTGAGCTTTCTATTAGGCTTAAAAAATATTTTATACAATTCTTTAAAGGCTTTATTTTTTTAAGTACTGTAATAATTTTTGATAATCTCGATAAAAAGGGACATACACGTTTCATTCTTTTACTTTTATACTCAATATTAATATAAATCTATAGAAATATTCACGGAATTTTTGTGAAAATTTTCAAACCTTCTAATATAACTTCTATATGTGAGGTTATTATTTGAGGTCAATTTTTAAAAAATTGGACAAAATTCTAACATGAAAATTTTCGAACTTGTTGGGTTTATAAAAATTGTTACGATTAATAAATATATTCAATAATAAGCAGCCGTTTGTTTAATATAAGTTAAGAAATTCGGCAGTTAGGGTTGATATTATGTGGTGCAATTGTTATAAACTATGGTGAGATTTGTGGTTAAACTCTAAGTACAAGACATTAATATAAATATTGTCGTGTTTAATATTTTTATTTACTAAGATGTTGACATTGTAATGGAGATAAAATTCGGGTTTGATCTTTTTGGTCATAGCAATATGGGAAATGAATATCTTAATGGTACTAATTCGCAATTAAAAATAAGAAGCGTCTCTAAAACAAAAATTCCACACAATGAAAGAAACTATCCAAATCATATTAGACCTGGTATGCCTATAGTGGTGTTAATACAAGCTAATGAGAATAATTACTCAATTAATATTAATGAAGGAGATGATATCTACTATCCGTTTACTATATTCCCTCATTGGGCAATAAATCGTGTTGAGGTAAATTTTTATTTTATTTAAGCTATAAGTTAATTTTCCTTCATTTGTTTCATGCGCAAAATCCTTGTTAAAAATTATTTTATAATTCTATATAAAGCATAAGTATCTAAAATTAGTTACAAAATGGTAAAAATATATTACGCTGCATCAAATATTTTTGAAGCTCGATGAGTTCCGCATTCGGATATTTATTATTAACTAATAAATTTTCTTTCCTGTTGTCCACACTTACAAAAACAATAAAAATAAATAACCCGACATCGGATTGGATGGTGGTACCGTAGGTTTTGTATCAGTCTGGGCTCATTCCATGATGGTTCTATTCCATCTCCAATCCAATGAATTTTCCACAGCATGAACACGTATGCAATATTTCCAGATCACGAATTTGGAGAATGAAGTTTTATTTGATGACGATTCAGAAAAATGTAAAAGGCTAACATCCCACCTTACCCAATTTAAATTGGATAACAAAACAAAAAAAGTGAACGGAAGATTATTTAGTGAGAATAGCGAAGTCATCATTAAAGGAATTTTCAATGAAACCATTAATGTTAATTTTCTTCATGCGGCTCTTGAATGGAATGATACATGTTCGATTTATGTATATTTAAGGCTTTATCACAGGGAGAATTTTCTATAGTTTGTATAAAATAGAGAAAATCTTTATAAAGTTCAAAATTACCACTATGCGATCTTGCCCATTTGTAATATTTACGAAATGATAAAGCAGAGTAAATCGGCGAGTTAAACGGATATTAATTAATAGAAATGAGCATAAAATAAATTTTGCTATTTTAATCTTGTATTTTATTTAGTGGGCAACACAGTTTTTCAATTGAATATTTCAAGAAATTTGATACGTGTAGATTCATACACGGTAGATTAAATTTTAAATTAATTTGGTTTACAATTAATTTGTATTTGCTAGAATGGACGTTGGATAAAATCAGAAAAGAATGTTTCTAATATATGTTCAGAATATCAAGAATTGAAAAAAGGAAAGAGGATTAAATTAACTTTAACTTTTCCTTCGTCCTTTAAACTTTTGTATATATTAGAAACAAAAGAAGATGTTATTGAAAGAAAAATTAATTTGGATATACCTGTAACGTTAACACAATATATTCAAGTAAATTATAATTTTTAAGGCGCCTGAGTCAGAAAAAGATTAGAGTTCACCCAAAGAGGGCTGATAAATCCATTAAAATTTTTAAGAATATAAATAGATCTACATAGATGCTTGGGGCTCTTTTTTAATAAATAAAGTTAATTTATCCATTTTTCAGGTAAAAAACCTAGAAAATTATAAAGCTGAAGAATTAATAAGCGTCAGCATGAATAAGAATAAATCTTGAAATAATTCAAATATATATGTGATATTAAAATATTTATGAATAATATTAGCCCAAATATGCACTGAAATATTTTCTAAATATGCACTGGATATGCACTCAAAATTTGCTAAATTTACTGAAACAAATGTGAATTCAAGCAGTAAAATGTGTGATAATTAATTTTGGCGCTCATAATTATAAATTTAATCATTTTTGTTATTATTTTTTTCTAAAATAATTTGAATAAATTTTTCCCGAAGAAATTTTTGACAAAAAATTTGACAAAATTTTGTCGAAGAAAATTTTTGAAAAAAATATATATTTTGCCAAAAAATAATTTTAAACCTACAATTCTCTCAAAAAAATGCCAAAATATAACAAATTTTATTAAAAATATGCAAAATTTGCCAAGAATTGCACAGATATGCAAATATGCAAAAAAGTACTGAAATATGCAAAAATATGCATTAAGAACCGGATCCTAAAGTGATTAGACCGATGTAAAAACACCATTTTTAAACATTTCAGCTCATTGCATATCCGCATGCAAATAAGCTCCATTGATAACCAATTATTTTCATAATGATCACTATTTTTAATATTTTTTAATTTTTAAAAAGCGTTAATAATAGTTTTAATTCGTAATAATGTCGGTAATTCAAATATATGCATATTTTTTATTTTAACTTTCAAGAAAGTTGTTCAAACAAAATTCCCCAAGCTTTAGATACAGTTTTTGATCCTCTTTCGAATAAGCTATAGCTTATAAGGAGGGTCCTTAAGCTCATTGAGTTTAAGGACCCTCCTTATACTCGTACTTCGTATCAGGTACGAGTACGAGTAAGAGGGGCATACTTTTCATTAAATTTCTATTTACTTATAGGTTTTTATTTAATTCTTGTTGTTTTTTTTTTCGTAATACCGTTTACAGCCACATGCATTGCATAAATATTTTCCTGTTTCTGAATGACGGCGCCAACATTTTGTTTGTATAGCTTGCAAATAAAACATTTACGAACGTCCTTAAAGCTAACTTTTGTAGAATTAAACCATAATTCTTTTGATCTAAACCGTCCAAATTAGTGTTTATATTCGCCACATTTTTTGCACAAGTAATGTTCTTTTTGTAAATTTAACCACTTTTTTGTTTGTGTAACTCTACAATTGAAACACTTTCGCTTATTTAATTCAATTATTCAACCTATAATTATTAAGAAAAATTTTTTATTAAATGAAAAGATGGACAAAGTAAAATTTATTTACTTATTTTATTGCTAGTATAAATAATTCTGTTTTCTAATTCAATCGGATATTGAACTTTTTGTTTTCCTAACAATTCAATTTTATATCCAATTAAATTAATTTCCGTCCAATTAATTGATAAATGTATATTTTTGTAATTTTCTATATTTGCTTCAATTAGGTTAAAATTATTTTCACAGTTGTACAATATTGAAGTTTTATAACAATTATTATTTTAAATAAAATTATTATTTCGAAGTACCTTAAATTTAATTAAATTCTTTAGCAACTCGGACACTATGGACATCAAATTCTATTAATAAAAATATACCATTTTTACAAACCCAGGCAGAAAATTTTGAACTATTTCATTATTAGTAATTTCAATCAAAATTTTCTTTTTTAATTATCAGATGGAATATATTCTGATCTATCAAATAGTTCAACTTCAAACATATTTTTTTTAGATTTAATTCAATTGTTCGTAAATATCCTTCTATATTTTTATTAAAGCCATCATGTTGATTATTTGTCTTTTCAATTATTTCAACACAAAACAATCCTTTATTTCAACATTTTTTAAATAAATAAATTCTTTCCGGCGCATTGAATTTTCAAGAATATAAGTAAATAGATGAGAATAATAAAATTAAATTTATTCATCTGAAATTTAGAAAATTTATTTTTAACATGACAGGTAACATGAGACCGTAGTTAATTTTTTACTAATATTATATAATATATGTTGAAATACAAATTTCAGTTGCTTATAATGCAGCCCAAATGTCGAATTTTGTTATTCATATAGTCGTGATTCTACTATTATCGTTGTTTATTTTGAAATATATAATAATTTAAATATAAATACTTGCACTCTATATTTAATGGAAAATTCATATGATTAGTCCGCATGTCATTAAATATTTATATTTTATTTTTATTATTTTGTCATTCGGTGAGATAAAATGATATTTGCACTTTATGTTATTTAATATGATTAGTTTTAAATATTTAGAAATATTTATTTTTTAGAAATATAAAAAGTGCAAATATTTATTTTTAAATGCCGGCTATATTTATCAAGGCTATTTAACTACTATAAATATTTTACTATTAAAATTCAGATGATGAAATTTATTATTGTTTTTCACTTATATTTATTTTTCCTAATAAATATTGAATGTTATGGGAGGAAAGTTAGTATTGTAGTTAAAATCAAAGAAGATTGGGAAGAAAAAAGACAATTTATTTGTTTAAAAAATGTTGAACTCAAGGAGCGTTTTGTATTGAAACAAATTGAAAAGAGCAATAATCAATATGATATTAGCTATAATTATAATATTGAGGGATTTTTGCGTCAAATTGACGTAAACCGTGAAAATAATATTTTTATTGTTGAGATTGATCATAGATCAGAATATGCTAAAGAATTAAAAAGGAGACTCTTGATTAATATTGCTAATAATAAAATTATACAAAATATTTTAATCGGATTTGGAAAACAGGTAGTTCAATTTCATTATTTGAAAAAAGTCGAAAAATAATTAATTATTAGCATTTAACTTTGTTTATAAATTTAAGATCCTCAAAAAAACTGAATTTATTAAAAATAAAAATAATTATTATGAAACTTCTATATTAGATGAGAGTTTAGAAATTAGAAAAATATATAAAAATGAATTATTAAAAGAAACTATCGAAAATTACAAAAATGAACTTTTATCAAGTTATTGGACGGAAATTAATTTAATTGGATATAAAATTGAATTGTTAGAAAAACAAAAATTTGAATATCCGAAAAAATTAAAAAGCAGAATTATTGACATTGGAAATAAAATAAGTAAATAAATTTTTAATAATGTCTATCTTGCCATTTCACTAAAAAATTTTTCTTGATAATTTAGGTGGAACAATTGAATTAAATAAACGAAAGTGTTTCAATTGTAGAGTTACGCAAACAAAACACTGGTTTAATTTACTAAAAGGACATTACTTGTGCAAAAAATGTGGTGAATATAAAAACATATATGGAAAGTTTAGATCAAAAGAATTATGGTTTAATTGGTTTAATTCTAAAAAGGTTATCTTTATAAATATTTGTGACAATTTTTAATAATTCTTAGCGGAACATTTTAAATAAATTTTTAACTCAATTTTAAACGTGTTAAAGGTTGTTTTGTTCAAACGTTGATGACCGTTAGAGATATAACTGCAATGTTATTTATACAATTGAACTTACTATGCTTTAAAAACTACCGTTAGATTACTTCTCATTGAGTAATTTAAGGACGTCGTAAATATTTCTTTTCTACTCCTTTTTTAAAAATATTAAAAACGGTAAATGTAAATAAAGCTAGGATTAAATTAACGTATAATCTGCGATTGATTGGCCTGATATTATCTTTTTAATCCTACTCCAAAGAGCATTCAGAGGAATGTGCC